CGGGGCCAACGTTGCCGCCCGCGGGGACGGGGACACAGGGCTCTAGACCCTCCGTGCACTGCAGCAGGCCCTCTGCAGAGCCCCACCCCGAGCCACGGAAGAGGTGCAAGGCGCGCCCTCACCAGGGGTTCAAACATCAACTGGTCATAAAAGTCCTGAATCAGACCCAGACAACTCTGAGCGCTTTGGAGTCCAGTGGACTGAAGTCCGCAGCGTCCTCTGCTGCCTTTCCCAGGGCCTCGCTTCCTCTCTGAACCTGGAGCCTGTTCCTTCTCTAGCGTGTACACCACATCCAATAGATACCTAAGGATGCTAGGAACACAGTAGGTGGTCAAGATCCTGGGCTCTAGCAGCTCGGGATGGTATCCAGAAGCTGAGAATGAGATACGGGTCAACAGCACAGCAGGACAGGGAGGGTGGTCCTGGTGGAGGGCACAGCTTGTGCAAAAGCCCCAGGGTCCAGCCTGTTCAGGGACCTCAGAGGGACCTCTCCCTTTCCTGGAGAAACCAGGGGTCTGTCATCTGCTTCTGCTCTCATTCCTACCACAGCCTTTCTGGCCAAACTCTTGAGCTTATGGAGGGGACGCTGTCACCAGGTGCAGCTAGAATGGGCCAGTGGCCTCCAGCAGGTTCTACCTCTTCAGGTTTGCTTCACTTCAGTTTGTAGACACTGCAGGGCTGGGGGCTCCACGCTGGGAGCCATCTGGACCCTGGAAGGCCCCAGTGTGAGGGACTCTCCAAACTCCTCAAGGGACTCTGGGATCTGGAGAGCAGGGAACTCACCTGTACCCAGCAGCGTGGAGATGGCAAACGGACCCGCAACCACAAGCCTGTGGTGTGTGTAGGGATTTGTCACATGACCCCAGAGCTCCCTCCTTGCCCCCTTCCCGCAGGCCACACAGCCCACCCTTGGTCCGGACCTGGAAGTCTCTCCTTCCCTTGGCTTCCTGTCCCAGCCCTGGGTGGGGGCTGTTTTGTCCCACCTGCAAGGACAAGGCTCTCCTTCTCTGGAGAGCTCAGCCAGTCAGTTCTGGGTGTTCTGGCCTTGAGATCCTGTCCCCTGACCCAACCACAGATGATCCAATTTGATCCATCCAACCTCCTTCCTCCATCCAACCGCCCAGGTTGGCCCAGGTGGCTGGATGGAGGAAGACAGGCTGAGGCAGGTCTGGGGTCACCTGAAAGGGCCTTCACTGAGAGTGTGGGGTTATAACCACCCTGGGCCCCAGAAAGGTGTCCTGGGGGCCTGGCATGGTCTGGCTCACTGGGGAGCAGAGAGGTGGCCTTTCCGAGAGAGGGTGTCTTGAGTGGAGGTGTGGCTGGAACTCACGAAGGACACAGAGGGCCCAGGGGCATTCTGCTGGCAAAGGTGGGCACTCCCAAAGCCCCTCTGCCAAGACAGGAGCCACCCTGCTGGGGTGGCGGTGGACAGGCAGTCTGATAGGTCAGACCCAGCAGGCCTTGACATGCACGGGGAGAACCACAAGGGCACAGAGGAGAGGACCCTGGGCAAAGGCCTGGGTCTGCTCATTTGCATGCAGGGGCCACCAAGGCATGAGCCGCCACCGCCTGCGGATTTGAGCAGAAGCTCACTCTCCTCTGTTCTTGTCTCTCTCAAGGTCAGAGCCCAAGCAGGGACAGGAACAAAGGCGGCGCGTCCCCCATTCAACCTCCCTGTGCCCGCCAGGCACTCCTGAGAATTGGCCGGGAGGAGAGGGAGGGCTCCAAGCCTGCCCCCTTAAGGCTGTTCCAGGGGACCCTGCCCTGCCAGGGGGGTACCAGGGGAACCCCAAAGTCCTCTTCCCTCCTGGGCAGGGGCTGCCCCAGCCTGGAGAATCAGCTAGCCAGTGGTCAGCCAGGTTAAGGGCCACTCTGGACTTACGTTTCCCTTGGAATCAAGGGTCAGAGGTCAGGTTCACTTTATGGACAAGGGTCCGTGTCAGGAGTTATCCAGGGTTAGGGGCCAGCCACCAGCCCAGACCCAGTAGAGGGTCTTTGATGGGGGCCCACCCCCATACACCTGGGTGTGAATTCTTGGGCCCAGGTGTTTGCTGGACACTGGGAGGTCTTCCTATCCAGACCCAGCCTGGGCCCCTGGCTCACCCACAGGGCCAGGCTGCAGGGCCTGGGACCCAGACCAGCAGCCCTCAGCCATCCAAGGTCTCATCACAGAATCAAGCTCCAGCTGGGGCAGTTTCAGAAGCCCCAGCTCTACCAGGCAGCACTAGCAAGTCCAGCAGGGCACCTGTGGAAGGGGCACTTTTGTGGACAGTGTCTGTACCCAGCTGGGGGTCAGGGAGTCTAGAGGTGTCCTTTCCTCCTGCCAATTAAAATGCCACTTGTGTCCAGTCAGGCCCCGAATCTCAGTGTGGATCCTCAGGTTCCAGCCATGGAGGGGGGAGGGGACTTCAACTGCCACCCTACCTCTGGTACTTCCCACCCTCCCCATCCTCCCTGCTTCCTACCCCCTTTCCCTCCCTCCTTCACCCCCTCCACACCACTCTCCCTCCAGTGGGACGATTGTGTCCAGAACTTCCTGAGTGTCATGCAGGAGTGTGCAATTATACATGGGGCTGAGGCCTAGAGATCTGTGTAATCCTAACAGCAAAAGAGGTATTTCTCAGAGGAGCAGCGACCATGCCAGAGACCTCAGGTCTGGCTCGGGGCTTAGCATCCACACAGCCACACTTTGTGAAGGTAGGGGTTGTGACCCCTGCACACATAACCGAATCCCAGGCTCCATTTCCACAGCCTGCCTTGCACCTACATGTGAAAGTGTTTGCACAAAGTGCAGCAGAGCTGGGAGCCCCTCTGCTCCCCTCAGGCTGAGGGGTCCAGGCCCTTCTGCTGGCACTGCAGGCCCCTCTCCTGGCTGTTAGCCGTGGATGACTCTCAGCTAATAGTGCATTAACCTTGGCGGGGGCTGCCAATTACTTCACATTAATGCTGGGGGTGGCGGCTGATGGGCTGACAGGCACAGGGACAGACGGGTGGTGCTCACCATCCACCCGGCAGGGGAGGCAGCAGGCGGGGGAAGGGTGGTGTTCCCGGCTCTGGATGGCAGAGCTGGGTCTCTCCTGACCTCATTAGAGTAATTAATGTGCCTTTTGAAGCTTGAGAAATGGCTCAGAGCTCTGGGAGAGGGGTGCAGATCACAGGGTGGGGGGCCAGGACAGACTTCATGCCTGTTAAAAATGTGTCCCATGGGGTCTGACGCAGAGACAAGAGCTGATCACAGTGAAGGGAACAGTTGCAGAGACACAAGGGCACGGGGCTCTGTGCCAGACCCACACAGACATGAAGCAGTAGCCAGCGCTTGCCCAAGACTCCCAGCTGTGTCAGCTACTCCCTGGTGCTCTGGCCTCCCCTGCGGCCTCCCAACCTTCCCTGAAGGAGCCCATCCAAGGAGCCAGAACAAGCTGGTGGTGCAGTCAGGGAGAGCATCCTGGGGGTGGTGGCTAAGCAGAGAAGGACCAGGCAGGCAAACAGATGGGAAGGGCAGGGGATGCTCCTCTGTGCTGCAGTGGTGCACACGAGGAGGGGGCTCAGAGAAACAGCCCCACAGGACCTGCTTCCCCACAACAGCTCTGCTCCTGGAAAGCCAGGGGACAGCCAGTTAGTACAAGGCTGCCACCTGGTGGCAATCCCGCGTCACATGGTGAAAAGGACTTCAGCCAGTGGGGCAGGTTCATCTCTAAGGAGACCTGGACTCTATAGAGGTGGACTCTGCCTGTCCTTAGCTGGTGATGGGAATACAGGGGCATGATGAGGAGTGGCACATGGGCCTCAGGTGGCTCAGCCACCACACCAGGACTCCTCTGGAACTCCCCCAAGGTGCTAGAAGATTGAGATGCATGGCTCTTGACCCCCAGGCTATAGGTGGCATAGCCAAGGGAATCCTGGAGCAGAGATCCCCATCCTTCACCCACCACACCTGGGCACCGAGGCCTGGAGTCAAGGCAGGGTGAACGCCAGATACATTAGCCAATGCCTCATTTATTGTCCCCAGCCCAGCACAAACATGCTCTGAGACCAATCCCTCAGTCCATCTGCCCACCAGGCCTCAGTACAGGGCTGCCACATCTCCACGCAAGAAGGGTGTAGGGTGTGGTACAAGTCAAGCTGGGGGACCTCAAGAGTCCCCGGTGGTGGTTGGGGGCCCCCAGGTTTCAACATACTTCCTTTTGCCAGGCTAAGGCAGCATCTGGGGAGGTAAGGCCCTGTTGTCCAGGTTGGGATCAAGCAGGCTTTGGACAGGCTGCGCAGGCTCCGACCAGAGTGCTGGGTGACACCAAAGCCTGAGGACAGAGCTGCACTGTCTCTTGCCCTTCCCCTGTGGCCCATGAGAACGCCTGCCCCCTTCAGCATCTGGAAGGCGAGAGAGAGAGGGAGGTGAGGTGTGCTGTGCTCAAAGGAGGGCAGCCCACCAGGTGCACCCTCCCCAAATGCCCCCTTGCTGGAAAGGGTTCCTCCAAGAGGGGGTGGTAGAAGACACTGCAGAGGGGCTGCCAGGCTTAAGTCTGCCTCCCTTCTGGGGATCTGAAAACAGAATCATGCTCCACGTTGCTTTGCCCATTGGTCTCCTAATCCTCTATGTCTGTCCAGTTTCAGCAGGAGGGGCCCCCATAGCAGCCATCCTAATACCTGCTGAGGCCCCACCCTCCCCCATGCAAGCAATACTCCCTTCTGGCTCCCCGGCTTTTGCCCCCAGGATCCCTCTGCCTGGATCTCCAAGACTGCTCCTGTCAAATGCTGCCCATGAGCCTGCCACAACCCTCCACCTTGAATGCTGACCTCATTCATCAATGTGGGGCCCATGGTCAGTGTGGCAGTCTCCCCACCTCTCTTTATTTACTTTTGCCATGCTGGAAATGGGAGCCTGGTGTATGCTACCACCCAACCACATCCCCAACCCTCTTTCCCATCTTAAAGAGAAGGAAACGGGAACCTGGAGAGAAAGCGAGGTTGCTCAAGGGGGTGGTGGCCTGAGCATCAATGTCCCAGTGACTGTATCAATGGCCCCATGGGTTGCCTGCACCCCCAAGTCCTGCTATTTCTCTCAAGTCTCCAGATCAGCTTGGCCTTAACTGGGGTCCCTGGAGGTAAAGGGGGACTTCCCTACCATCTCAGGTTCCTTGTCTCAAAGACCGTCTCCTCATCACCACTGTCCAGTGAGGCCATCTCAGTGGGGTCCTCGGTGTTGGCCAGGAGCCCATACCTTCTCCGTTGTGGTTTCTTCAACCTGCACATGGTCCAGACACACTCAGTGGCCGTCTCTGCTCTCTCCGTCTCTGCCCCTGGCCCTCACTGTTGTGCCCATTCCCACCCCCAGAGTCCTGCTGCATCCAGCCCAATCATGTCTGTTTCCTTCACACTGTAAAAGCCATGAGGATTATTACTAAATAAATGCTTTCGTACGGCTGGATGTGGTAGCACACGCTTGTCATCCCAACTGAGGTAGGAGAATTCCAAGTTCCAGCCTAGCTGAGCAACTGACACTGTCTCAAAACTTTAAAAAAAGGGTTGGAGGTAGCTCTCTTGTAAAGTACTCCTGCGTTCAATCCTCCCTAAGGGGAAAATAAAAACTGTCCCTGCAGCAACAGCACGTGAACCCATTCCTCAGCTCACCCCCACTTCCCCTGGGCCAAGACCACAAGAAAATGATGATGTTCCGGCTCCCAGTTTACTGACAGAGAGTCCCGGAGCAGAGTTAAGAATCCACCAGTGCCCTAAGCAGAGGACTGTGGGCCCAAGCCCCTGCCTGCCTGCCGGTGGCCATACCAGAGAAACGGAGAGACAGATATAGTGAATGGGCATACGCAACGGAGTCAGGAGGTGAAGGCTCTCCACCAAGAACTATAAGACTGTGCTTGGATGATGATCAGAAGGGACATCATCACCGATGTGACGAGGGCCCTTCCAGAGATCAGCTCCAGAGTGCCCCAGAGGCACAACAGAGACGAGGACCACGGGGAAGGACAGGCGCTTCTCACCTTTCTAGGGGAAGTCAATCAGGAGAACCCAGAATGAAGGGGCAGGCTCCAACGCACAAGTCCTACACAGGGGTGGGGAGAGCAAGAGGACCCAAAGGGCCGCAGAGGGCTTGACCAGACTCCGATCAACAGGGTCAGAGGCCAGTTGTAGCAGGCGAACACCAGGCAGCGGGTCCCTGGGGGCCTGGAGAGTCTCTATGCAGTGCTAACAGCAGTACCAGAAAATAGGACAGGACACTCGTGGCTGCCACACGCATGAGAGCAGAGAAGCAATCTCTTGGTGTCCTCCAGGGAAGGAGGGACCGTCCATGCCATCCGCCTAAAAAGCAGCACCACCCCATACTAGCCCTCGCTGGTGAAAACTACAAAAACCCGCTACTCGCTGTGGGGGAGCCACGTGGCAGCATGGCCCCGCCCCCACACGTGACAGGTGCCGATTGGCTTCGGAAGGGCAGCGGCAACAACTTCCGCCTGACGAACCTGAATGCCCGGATGAGGAAGTAGAGCGCCGCCAGGCCACAGAGGCCCGTGAGCACGTAGAAGGAGCGCAGCAGCGCCGAGCCCTGCGCGCCCGGAACCCACGCATGCGTTCTGTTGTGTGGCTCGTCCGGCTGGCTCCCGTTCG